TATATATATATATATATATATATATATATATATATATATATATATATAAATATATGGATATAAATCCGACAGTATGAAGGAAAATATATACGGAAAAAAAAAAAAAAAAAAAATCCTTATATACAATTATGTTGTTTTAATTTTTATATATCAACGTTGGACGTTTCGGTCTAATAAACCATCTTCAGGACATATTCATAAATAATAATTATCAATACAACATGATCTTATAAAACTTTCAGCTATTTGTTTGGATAAGTCTTGTTCTTATGTACATCGTCTTTGTCATGTTGTATTGATAATGTTATAATTTATATATATATATATATATATATATATATATATATATATATATATATATATATAAAATGTAACTTTCCTGTGCCTTTTCTATTAACATTTTCCTGTTAATTGTTCTGATGAAGTTTTCTCTGTTTTCCTAGATTTACGAATTTACTAGATTGACCTCTCAAAATTATGGCAGAAAAGACCGCCAGTGTCTTCAAATGATGCTTGTAAACATCATGGAACCAATTGTTGAGCAGATTTGATAAATTCAGAGAACTGAAAGAGAGCAAAATTCATTGTTTCCAGACAGTATTAAACTGGATGAACTAAGCAAATGAGCATGGGTATACATGTATGATTTTGAAATGAAGTTGATTGAATTTCAGAGTAGCTCAATTTGAAAGCAGAAATTTGTTGACCTTAGAGTTGAACTGGATAATATTGAAAGGAGCGATTAGAGATGGGAGTATCAAAGAGAAATACGGAAAACGAAGCATTAAAGATTTGGAATACCATTCCTGAAAATTTTGCCTGTTTATAAAATCTTGCAACAGCATTACTATCCATGTTTTCATCAACATATCCTTGGGAATCTTTGTTCTCTGGGATGAACTTTGTTAAGTCTTGTAACAGGAGTAGCCTGACGGACGGAACTAGTATTACATACATATCTCTCAAGGTTACTAAATATAAACCCAATATAAAATATATTATATGTGATGCATTATATGTGATGCAACAGCAGAAGTCCCACTGAGAATATATGAAAAGTGTCCACAAATTTTCTGTCTCTAGTTTTAGCTCATGTTTTTTTTTAAAGTGGCAATTGCTCAGAGCTGTTTAAATGCAATTTTGACGGTAAATAAATATATTTTGTTTTTTTTATGCATCGTTTATAAGGGATTTAAAATCAGCAAAAAGTTATTTTTAATAATCTTTTACTGTGTCTTAGTCATAAAAATGTATAATAGGGAAAATGATGAATGAATAATCGATATATATATCGTCATTTTTTTCATTCAGTCAGTTTTACATGGTTTACATAATTTCTTACAATACCGCATCTTCACTGTCCTGGGGTGATTTTTTATCATTTAAATAAAGTTCTTCACATACTTAAGTAATCTCAAATAATATGTTCTCAAAAAAAATTTGTTGGCACGTGGAAAAATTTTGCGTCAGATATTTGGCCGTTTTTTGGCACGCACTCTCAAAAAGGTTGCCCACCCACTGATCTAAATGAACCCTCCAAATATGTATAGGAATAACAGAAGATCAATATAAAAAAAAATTATGAATATTCCATCATCAGACTGACTGTATATATCGCTATTCTCGACTTATCAAGAGTACCTTTGCCTGATTTTTTCGCCTAGATCTTGAATCTCTTCTTAGTGATATGCATATAACACCGTCATCTCCAAGCTAGAACCCCACAAAACATGCGAACTTTACGGTATCCTTTGAATTGTCGTAAGGAAATGTGCTCCTAAAGTGGATCCTGTTATATCCAAATTTATATATATATATATATATATATATATATATATATATATATATAAATGCATTGCTACTTCTTACTTTCCAGCACGTTGGAAATCCTCTTCTGTAAGTTGATGTCTAAGAACTCGATTGAACCTTTTGTTTCCTCGAATTATCGACCTATTAATATTTTACCTATTTTTGGTAAAGTTCTGGAGGCTCTAATCAACTTCGAATTGATTAAGTATCTTACTTCACAATTCCTTCTTTCAGATAAACATGGTTTTCAGTCGCTGATGAGTTAACGGTTATTGCTAAATTTAACTATTAAACTTTAAATAGTAACAGCGAGGCTGGGACTGTGGCTTTAGATAGCTCGAAGGCATTTGACAGGGTTTAGCAATGCTGACCTTCCTCACAAACTGAAGTGCTATAGTGTCTCTGGTAAAAAATTTGATGATAAATACGGAACATTTAAAAATGTAAGAAAAGTCTTTTTATTACTGGTAGTATTTTTTTCAAGAATGTCTTGCTGGTAATAATGTGTTGCTGGTAATAGTTTTTCTTCAAAAAATTATTGCTGGTAATAATTTTTTGCAAAGTATTTCTGGTATTAAAACCTATTTTTACACTTTCATAGTCTTTTGACCCCAGTTTGGGGGTTAAACATTAGCCCATAGCTGGGACCCTAACAGGTACTACCACCCTGTGTCAGGGTGGACATGGGAATACCAACAATTAAGAGATCGTTTCACGCTCCTCAAAACCATCTGATCAGAGGCCTTGCTGCTAGACGGACACAAATGTAGGTTATCTTCATACCCAGTACGTGAAAATTATGATAATTCAAATCATAAATTAAAAGAATAACACAGAAAATCATTTAAGATAAATCTTTAGCTGTGTATTAATTTGAAGTAATCTTTTTTTTTGTTATTTTTGTTATTCCCTCAACGTTCGACCGCTCCATTCTACGGCTTTCTTATAGGTTTACTATCGGTTATGGAGAAAGACGTGCTCTTTTTGCGGTAGGTCAAAGCAAAGAACGGACAGAAAAAGAAAATTTAAGCGCCCGAAACAATGGCTGTAATATGAAATAATCACTTTTCAGTAATGCGTTTAATGCAGCTTGTTTTGTACTTTCTTATTGTCTCGGGCTTTTTTTCCCTATGTCATCTTCTAAACACTGAAAGCAACACCGATCTGACTTAACCATCTTGTCAGTAAGTTCATGTATACAGATACTTTCAATTTTCTTAATTTATACCGGTGACAGTCATATCGATTCTTTTCAAAATTATAGAAGACTAGCAGCATGGTCCGGCGATGCCCGTGCTTGACTAAAAAATCGTACGACTCATACAGCAATCGCTATCACTTGACTTAAAATATTTTTGCCCTTCCTTGCCTTTAAAGGAGTGACCTTTGCCGTGCTAATGTTGCTACATGCCTTACTTCTTGCCTATCTCACACTGCGAATTTTTTCTAAGCTCTATACTTAACATTAAATCTGTTACGAAAAAAGAACTAAACAAAATGAACACAAAACGATCAGCTTTAAAAAAGGACTCGTAACTGGAAAAACCGAATGAAAAAAGAATGTTAACAACAAATACATTTTCACACCCAACCCAGTTCTGCGGAATCAGAATCAACGTTGAGTTTAAGCAAGCGAATGAGCCAATTGGATTAAAGTGCCATGCAGATTTAAATTTTTCCCACTTGTGACGAATGCAGCCATCGATTGTTTTTGCATGCTAGCATGCTAGTTAACATTCGTGTCAGTCAGCTGTTGGCTCTCACGCTGGCCAATAGAATCTTCTTGCCTATTCGTGGCAACCAGCTATTGGCTCTCACTCTGGCCAGTAGAAAATGGCCGCAAACTGCATGAAAACTGCCGTAGAAGCATGAAAAAATTGATTAATTCCACTATCGATGGGAGTTGGGAAATGCAAAGTTGGTCTTGGCCTTCCCACTAACTTGGAGCATGTGCATGTAAATTTTGGTGCAAATCCGTCGAAAGTTGCGGCAGTGCATTCGTTACACACACACACACACACACACACACACACACACACACACACACACACACACACATCCTGTCTTTTATAGATAGAGATAGATGGTAATAATAATTGCAATAGTAATATTAGCCGTTTCCCTGCAAGAAATGAAACCATTCATTGACCGATCAGTCAATACTGACGAGGGTTTCCTTACTAACCTTTTGTCTGAAGTAGTGTGGAACGTCAACATCTTGATTATGTCATTATTTTCTCTTCGAAGATACACATGCTATCCATTGTAGTTGTTGCTGCTTTTGGTAGTCCGCATGTGACGCGGTTTATGCAATCTGGTGCAGTTCTTTGTTTGTGATTCTGTAGCGCCAATTCACAATTTTAAAAGGATGATCCTTGCCAAGACCCTCAGACTTCACTCGCTCAAAAACTTTAATTACCAAAAGTGGAATGGATTTTACAAGCATTAAATTGTCTGTAAATATCTCCAATGCCAAAGGGAACAACGTAGCGGAGAGAGAGAGAGAGAGAGAGAGAGAGAGAGAGAGAGAAAGAGAGAGAGAAACGGAGCGAGGGAGAGGCGAGTATGCTTGAGCGAATGTGTGTGGGAGAGAGTGTGCTTGTGTGAGTGAGCGAGTGTGTGTATGAGAGAGAGAGAGAGAGAGAGAGAGAGAGAGAGAGGGATGGGAGAGAGCGTGTGAGTGGGTGAGAGAAGGGTGTATGTGTGTATGTGTGTGTGTGTGTGAGACAGAGACTGTGTTTGTGAGAGAGAGCAAGAAGAGAAAGAGAGAGTGAGAGAGATCGGTGAGTATGCGCGAGAGAGATTGCGTGTATGAGAGAGAGAATGTGCGCGTGAGAGAGAGTATGTGTGAGAGAGAGTGTGTACATGTGTGAGGGAGAGAAAGTGTGTTTTTTGTGCGTGTGAGAAAGAGAGAGGGTTAGTAGGTGTGAGAGAGATTGCGTTTATGACAGAGAGTGTGTGTGAGAGAGAATGTGTGTGTGTGTGAAAGAGTGTTTGTATGAGTAAGTGAGTGAGTGTGTATGTGTGTGTGTGTCTGAGAGAGAGAGTTTGTGTGTGTATGTGAGAGAGCGTGTGAGTGTGTGGGAGAGAGTGTGTGTGAGAAAGAAAGGAAGAAGAGAGAAAGAGAGAGGAAGAAGAGAGAGAGAAATAAGAAGGGTGAGAGAGTGTGTGAGAGAGAGAGAGAGAGAGACAGAGGGAGAGAGAGGGAAAGAGGGTGGGGAGTGAGTTGCGCCCAAATACCGAAAAGTTTACATTTTTCCTTGGAAACAGACTGCGATGGCTGTGGGCATCTAAATTGAAGAATTGCTACTTCGTTGCTTATCATTGTGCCAACTTGCCCGGAGGCAGCCCTGCAAGATCCGTAAGGATAAACAAGGCTATCAGCGTCTATTAATGGCATATAAACAAGAAACAATGAGAAGGAAAAATAGTTGAGACAGGAACAAGAGATAAGGGCGGGGAAATTAGCACTGGCAGTTGCTGGTATGATGGCGGTCGAAAAATGTTTATGGCAAAGGCGATACCAGTAAAACATATCACTGCTTCTACGGCATCAAAAATAGCAAGAAAAGTATTATATAGATAAAGATGATGCAGCACAATAATAATAATAATAATAATAATAATAATAATAATAATAATAATAATAATAACTATCCGTTGTAGTTGGAGCCCTCGGATGGATTGGAAAAGATTCCAGTAGACTAGTTGAAAGGATTCCTGGAAGCTCATGCCTTAAAGAAATACAAAAGAAAAATTGTTCTCACGACCACAGCCCACTCCTTACGAAGGACTTTATCTATTTAAAATATTTTTTGTCGGTGGAAAATCTCATAATGCCATTTCTAACCTTAGGTCTCTGGGCGGGACCCGGAACGAAATGTGTACACACCAGAAATCAAAGGAAATAAAATAATACTTGAAAAGTTCACGGTTTTCCAATGTAAATTATTTGATGAATCTTAATTCCTAACTCTTAAGTTAATGATTGAATAATCTCATGACGAGTTCTATGACAATAATATATCCGTAGAAGTTCCCCTATTGCGTCGTTAGAGCTTAACAATTTTAACAAAATATTGAAATCACAATCATAAATTTGAATGCTTGTCCTTAATTTTAAGAAGTGGGTAGAAATGAAAAGATTTGAAGTCTATCTCCCCCATTGCTTGCTTCCTTCCTTCCTCCCTTCCTTCCTTTCATTTTAAATTAAGCCCTTTTCCCTCTTTCCCTGTTTCGATCAAAACAGAACAGTCCATTTATTATGAGGTATTGACAAGAAAGTTTAAACACTTCTTTGTGTCTTTTTCTTTATTTCTATCCAAATCCCCGCCTTACGAACATTTCTCTTAATAATAATTTAAAAATAATTGAGAAGACGGTGTCATTTTATTTAATTTATTGTAATTGGATTTTTAACTCGATGCAGTGCATCTGAAAAATGGCGCTTTTATCGGTCGCTATCACTTCTCAGCGTTTTGGCTGAGATTCGATCACGGCTACGACTAGCTTGGACAGGCTCGAGTCTGGACCAGCTATGACAAGCCAAGACCAGCTATGACTAGCTTAGACCAGCTCTGACCAGCTTGGACAAGCTATGACCAGGTTGGATCAGCGGCCCGAGTGAAAACACTCGGGTCTCCACGTTAAAAACCGACCTTGCGTCACAACCTGACTCAGTGGGGGATCAAGTAAATAAACGGCCTTTTGCCTAAGATCAAAATGTAGTATCTGTTCTTATTAGCTTAATCTGATTCTCTCTCTTTCCACTTCTATGTTCCCTTCCTTCTTTCTTCTTTCTTGCATTTTCTCACTGAAATCAAGTAATGTCTTTTTCCCTCGGAAGAGTCCATTATTTATGAGGTATTGACAAGGAGTAACGGCATGCGATGTAACGAAGGGTGAGACAATAATAATCATCATCATCATCATCATTATTATGATAAGCCCCTTGCGGCTTTATCGTCTGGCTTGGTGTGAAATGATTAAAAAAACAATAACGCTGTATCAGTAACGATTCGTTTATTGTCATTTAATTAACTCGTTGGTGTAGTGACAGACGGTAGAAAATGTGACATAAATCTAAAGGAATATGAGAACAAAATGTGGGTTATCCCACTTGGCTTTGCCAAAAGCTCTCGATAGGGGGCGTTCTTTAAGCCTATAAATAGGAAATCATATTTTCTTTCTTTCTCTTTTTGACCTTTTCAGCTCCGGCTTTCAGATGTAGTTGCACGTAGATAGGAACGCTGTCGTGGAGGCGCGTCCGCTTCTATGGTCCTCCTTTGACTTTTGAACTGTCTCCCACATGCAAATGCACACACGCTTGTTACGTACACAGAAGTCACACACAATTGTTACATATACACATACATACACACACATAGAAGCACATTCTTCTCATAACTTAATGTTTTTTTTCTTTCGTTACAATTGTTTACACATGTAATTTCTTTTATTAATAACACGTATTATCGTTTATTTTTATATTCACTTTTTTGTTTTGGCTACACGCAACAAATGGAAGATGCTTTCGAGAAAATAAGTATCAAGAAATTGGAAAATGTCCTCGAAGCACAGAACATAGCGCTAGTTTTTCTATGTAATATCTAATCTAAATGGTAGAAATTTTTGGGTAATTTTCTCATATTTCAAGGGGGATTTGAAGCGATAAAGGTTGGGAATAGCATGGTCAGATCATATGGTCAACGAGGAAGTCTTAAGGGAAACAGGAACCACAAGGAAATTTATGCTTGCAATCAGAAAAAGACAGTTGAAATTTCTGAAACGCAGAATTGATAAAATCCGAAGAAGAATATGCATTATTATCGATCCTGACATGGCATCTCGTCTTCAATCACTTTTTCACAGTCATAACGTAGCATCCCTGTACTTTTTCTATAGATAGTTTCACAATTTCTGATAAGCTTTTCTCTTTGGCACACCGCCATAGGCGTATTGGGATGGCCAAGGACACATTCCAAAAGCTGGGCAGAGTACTGCGAGACAGGAGGATATCTTTGGTAACAAAGAAAAGAATACTGAACTGTTACGTGACATCTGTCCTTCTTCACGGCAGCGAATGTTGGACAATTTCCTCACAGATGAAGAAGAGACTCGAGGCGACGGAGATGTGGTTCTACAGAAGGATGCGAAAGATGGACCGAGCGTGTGAGCAACGATGAGATCTTAGAAAGGATGCAAACAAGGAGGAGGCTTATACTTAATATCAGGTAGCTGAAGTTTCTGAGGCACATAATGAAGGTCTGGAGAATCTGATACTCATGTGTCGAATAGAGAGAAAGAGAGATAATGGAAAACAACGCGTGACATACCTGGCGGACTTAAGCGAGTAAATGACAGAACGTGATCTGAGGGAGGAAGCAGAGGGAAGGAACTTGTTGAGAGCTGCAAGGGATAGAAGGAGGTGGAGAGCCATGATCGCCTACGTCCTGAAAGGATATGGCACATAAAAAGAAAGACTAGATTGGCTAGGCTTCATCATTTTACACTTGAAATTGCTAGAGTTTATTCATTCACACTTCTGGATAATGGAACTCTTTTCCGGCTTCTTGTTTTCCTGTCAAATTTGATCTTCCAAAAATTAAAAATCAGTGTCAATTGTTGTCTTCTTAATTCCTTTGCATTTATTGTTCTCTTTTAATAACGTGTTTATTTTCAAATATTTTTCGCTGCATCTTAGTGGCTTTATTGCCTTGCTTGGGGTGAAATTATTAAAAAGAAATTGAAGATTCTCAGGACATATTGAAGGCAAGAGAAGTAAGGAACACAATTCGCAATCTATTTAAGGAGAGAATGGTTTTAGAACTGTTCAAATACAGATGGTAAAAGGTAAAAACAACAAACAACAAAAAACAGGATGTCGTGAAGAGACATGATCGGACACATCCAGAAATACGCAGAAACGCACACATATCTTGAAAATGAAGAAACCGACAACACAGCAGAAAATGTGTTACATAATTGCTAACGACAGACGAAAGTAATGAGACATTGGATAATTTATTTTAAATATGCACCAGAAACCAAGAAACTGATCGAAAATATAGAAACAAAAATCTTTAACACATAAAATTATGTAGAGAAGAAATAACCACGACATCCTGCACATATGCACATACGCACACGTACAGGCGTACACACATACACATATACGCGCGTGCACACATACATGCACGCAAACAAAAAAGTAAATCACTCTAACACTAATAAAAATAAAACGAAAAAACGAATAAAATTTATAAAATTAAATTATTTTTTTTAACTTAATATAGAAATAACGAAAACGAGAAAATTGACAGATGATATCTCCTGACGAGTGAACCGAACAATTACACAAAAGTTCGTCTACGAAACTCTGTAGTGGAGGTGGTGAATACAACATCAATCAGCTAAGTGACAAATTTTATATTTCTATTAATCCTATATATATATATATATATATATATATATATATGGATGCATCCCTGAATCCGCATTTTAATTACTTCGAACATTATTATAACTGATACTTGTATATGAAATAGAAACCCCATTTTTATTTTAATTTTAAACTTTACTCTATCGGTCTGCGTATTCGAAAAATCTTAATAAAGATGAAGATGGGGCGTCTATTTCAAATACAAGTATCCACTATAATAACATTTGAAGCAATATATACATGCATACATATATATATATCGAATATTATGTTAGAATATATATATATATATATATTATTGTATATATATATATATATATATATATATATATATATATGTATATTGTTGGAATATATATATTTACTTAGAATATATATATATGTATATATATATATATATATATATATGTGTATATTATATTGTAGGAATATATATATTTACTTAGAATATATATATATGTATATATATATATATATATATATATATATATACGTATATTGTTGAATATATATTTACTTAGAATATATATATGTATACATATATATATATATATATATATATATATATATTTTAAAGCAATGTTCATTACGCCTATATATATATATATATATATGTTTGTGTGTGTGTATTCATGCAATCATGCTTTATGAATTGTTATAGCTTTCCTTTTATTTTATTTTGAAGAATTTAAATGTCTCTTCCTCGGCTCATTAATTAGCCATTGTATCCTATGAAAAGTGCATACTGTTTTAGCCGTTCCTTTGATTAAATTCTTACTGTATAATTTACTCGTTACGATTTTCACATGCTTCTTAATAATTATTTTCATTTATTGAACGTTTGGGTATAATGTTTTTTTAATTTTAATTTTCTATTTTGGAAAATCTCGTTCGAAAGAAACTGCTATGTAATAGCAATCTCCTTTATAGTTGTAAATTATTGTTAAACCCCTCACAGATGAAGATAGAAACTTGAAGCAACAGATATGTGGTTATACAAAAGGATGCTAAGAATACCGTGGACAGAGCATGTGAGAAACGAGGAAGCTTTAAGGAAAACGGAAACAAGTCTGGACACATAGGCAAAAATGCATATTTTGAAGAAATTGAATTTTCAACAACATTTTATTGAATTAAAATATTAACAAATAACATCTTCAATATGATTCTCATCATTTTGTGATACAAAGGTCGATGTGCTTTGCAAGATTCACGTGAACTCGATGCAATAACTCCACATTGCCGTCAATTTTGGCACATTCACTCTTTATGCGTTCAATCAAGTGTGTTGCATTTGTGATTTTCATTGAGTACACCTTCTCCTTTAGCATACTCCAGAAAAAGAAGCCAATTCTTTCTTCTTTCGACAAAACCTTGTTTAATCCGTGGAGGCAAAAAAAAAAAAAAAAATGTAGTCAATGAGATTTCCTATGTATCCATGGACTTTAGAGATACCCTGTAAGGCACAGGAACATATTATTAAAAACAGACACGTGGTGATAATAAATGAAACATTGTCAAAAAAAGATTTAATAAATCCAATCTTAGAGATTTTTCCAAGCCCTGATAACAATACATAAAGAAATTTCTTGTTCCGTCATCATGTTTAGTTCTTAGCCAGGCATTTGAAATTTCTTTTAATCATTGAACCCTAAGCAAGGCAGAAAGGCCACTAAGACGCAGTGAGGGTTTCTCAGTGTGTAAGAATATGAGAAAAACATTATTAAGGAGAGATAACAATAACAAGAATTCAGAAGACAGAAAATAACGCCTGACATTGCATTTAAATTTTGAAAATCAAATTTGATTGTGAATCAAGAAACCGGAAGAGAATTCCGCAAGCGAGAAGTGCGAGAAAAGAAACTATTAGCATAGAACTTACGTTTAGATCTAGCTATTTCAACTGTAACATGATGAGACTTATCCGCCAATCCTGTTATGCGCTTAAATACGTAAAGTCTAGGTACCATAGAGAAAAGTAATATTTATTTTGTTTTAATACAAAAGTGTAGCACAAGATCAGGAGTGGAGATAGGGAAAGGCTGATCTTCAATCTGTCTTATCTTAAACATAGCTAGCCCTGATTACTGATCCAAACATTCCACAGTATTCATGACAGGAAAACAAAACACTCTTACTCATCATTCTTACTACAGTCACCATAATACCTTAAAGTCTCCATGTAGTCTTAACTAGTCCCCGTATGTAGAATTTGTCTCTGTGTGTGACGGGGGAATAAAATATCAACATTAAAAAAAATAGAGAAATGATCATCAGAACAATTACCATGAAAGTATTTATAGAAAAGGCACAGGAAAGCTACGTTACAACGGTGGGAAAAGTACTGAAGGCGAAACGTCAGGTAAGGACCAATAACGTTGCAGATTCCTCTTTGGATTTTATCAAGAATCTCCAGATATACAGCAAAAGCACCAGGCCAGATGTGGCAACAATATTCAAGGCAAGGACGAATAGTAGACTTATAAATATGTAAGATAAATTTTGGCGAGAACAACTGTATTGCACGACAATGATAACCGAATTTCCTAGCATCAGATTTAGCAATCGATTCAATATAATCTTTCCACTTTATGTCAGCGGAAAACGTTAGGCGCAATGAATAACTCTTCTGGAGGTTAGCATCAGCCATGTTGATGTAAGGCAAAAAGAGTTCTCTCATACGCTCAAATGAGAGCTGTTTCGTTTTTGTGGCGTTAAAATTAACACGCCATTGCTTGCCCCAGTTAACAACAGATTGTAAGCCTTTTTGTGATCAGGCGCTAATTTTTTTATATATAAGTTATTCTTAATAATTTTTTCTTACTGCTTCTTGTACTTTTTGTACTTATTTACTTTTTTAAAGGAAATATTGTTAAAGAAAGACAGGAGGAACTATTGAAAGAAACGAGAAGAAAGAACTAACGATCAATTGTAAGAAGACAGAATGTATTGTTGTCAGCAAAGGGAGCAGCTCAAGATGCGAGCTACGAACTGGAGATCAAAATCAAACAAGTAGAGACGTTTAAATATCGGGGAGTGTTTTAATAGATGATGGAATATGTGACCCCGAAACCTGAACGCGCATTCGAATAGTGAAAGATGCCTTCCAAAAGCTAAGAAAGGTACTTAGAAACAGGAAAATTTCGTTAAAAAAGAGTTCTGAACTGCTATGTAATATCTGTTCTATTACTGTTGTAATCGAGAAAAGGTTACTGAATGAGGACTAACCAAAACGGAGGTTGGAAATGAAATAGTATTCTTTATAACATCAACAAAATACAATACTCGCCAGCGGCGTGAAGTAGGTAAACCACTAGTGATGGACTACGTAAACAACATATCACCCCAGTTTACAATAGTGTCCAACGTATTTATAAGGATTGGGACATATTCATTAGTGTTCGTAGGTACAGTATATAAGAATTATATATTAAGATATAGGAACATATTATTAAAAAAAAAACAGACAGATGGTGATAATAAATGAAACATTGTTTTAAAAAAAGTTTTAATAAATTCAATCTTAAAATTTCACCCAAGTAAGCCAGTGAATGTCGGATAATTTCCTCACAGATGAAGAAGAGATTTGGGGTAGCAGAGATGTGGTTCTGAAGATGGATACTGGAAATACTATGGTTCGAACATGTGAGTATCGAGGAAGTTTTAGGAACAATGGGAACGAAAATGAACTGTTGAAATTTTTTGAACTTATGAGGAAAGAAAGCCTATAGAATTTAACACTCACAAGACACGCTGTAGGCAAGAGAAGCAGGAAAGCAGCGAGTAATCTATTTAAAGAGTTTAAGGGAATGGATGGCAGAACAAGGACAAAGAGAAACGGTAAAGTGTCAGCAGTTACTTAGTTACGAATAGGAAGCTGTGGAGAACTATGATTGCTCACGTCCCAAAAACACACGTCATAAAAAAGAAGTATCAACAGAATTTTCTAGGCTGGACGAAAGAAGGACACAAATCGATGGATCGAAAAATCAGAATGTTAATTCCTATGCATAACGCTCTCAAACCCAGAGATGATAATGACAAAGTCTATGAAGTAAAAAGAGAAGGGGAATAGACGTTTCATCAGCATCATGGACTGTGTTGAAATGAGATTTGTATGACTGTGGAGAGAAAATATGATAACTGCTAGCTCTGTGCACCAAGAAAAGACAAAGGCGGGAAGAATGTGGAACGCAAGCAGGAAAGAAAAATAGGAAAAATACCAACTTCCATAGAAATTATCGCAGAGGAACAATACCAGACTTGGTTACGCAGAGTGTATTTGATGAGAAAAATCGGACCTTTGATCGTTGCAGCATAGAAGAAAGGCATAAGGAATAAATACATCAAAAGGCGAAATGGATAAAACTGAGGAAGATAACAAGTGACGCCTCTATGGAGAAAAAATGAGACGGTGAATCAAAATAAGGGAGCTGAAAATAAATATAAAACTTGAGTGAAGACTCAATCATATTTTTTATAATGAATTCAGCTCAAACAAGGCGATGACACCACTAAGACGCAAAGGGCTAAGGTGAGTGAAAGAGAATGAAAAGTTTTTGGAAAGAACAGGAAATCCAATCCTAAACAGGGAATACGGGATGAATCTTTAATTCTGTTAAAAATACCGGAAAGGAGTGTAAGACAGGAAAGTCCAGGAAGGGGTGTGAAACGGAAGAGACCGGAAAGGAATGTGAAATGGAAAATACTGGAAAAGAGTGTAAAACTGAAAAGACGGGAAAGGTGTGTGAAACGGAAAAGACCGTAAAGGAATATGAAAAGGAAAAGACCGGAAAGGAGTATGAAACGGAAAAAAACCCGAAAGGAATGTGAAACGGAAACAACCCGAAAGGAGTGTGAAACGGAAAAGACCGGAAAGGAGTGTGAAACAGAAAAGACCGGAAAGTAGCATGAAACGGAAAAGACCGGAAAGGAGTATGAAACGGAAAAGACCGGAAAGGAGTATGAAACGGAAAAAAAGACCGGAAAGGTGTGTGAAACGGAAAAGACTGGAAATGAGTATGAAACGGAAAGACCGGAAAGGAGTATGAAACGGAAAAGACCGGGAAGGTGTGAAACAGAAAAGACGGGAAAGGAGCATGAAACGGAAAAGACCGGAAAGGAGTATGAAACGGAAAAGACCGGAAAGGAGTATGAAACGGAAAAAACCCGAAAGGAGTGGGAAACGGAAAAGACCGGAAAGGAGTATGAAACGGAAAAAACCCGAAAGGAATGTGAAACGGAAACAACCCGAAAGGAGTGTGAAACGGAAAAGACCGGAAAAGAGTGTGAAACAGAAAAGACCGGAAAGTTGCATGAAACGGAAAAGACCGGAAAGGAGTATGAAACGGAAAAGACCGGAAAAGAGTGTGAAACAGAAAAGACCGGAAAGGAGTATGAAACGGAAAAGACCGGTAAGGAGTATGAAACGGAAAAGACCGGAAAGGAGTATGAAACGGAAAAAACCCGAAAGGAGTGTGAAACGGAAAAGACCGGAAAAGAGTGTGAAACAGAAAAGACCGGAAAGGAGTATGAAACGGAAAAGACCGGAAAGGAGTATGAAACGGAAAAAACCCGAATGGAGTATGAAACGGAAAAGACAGGAAAGGAGTATGAAACGGAAAAGACCGGAACAGAGTATGAAACGGAAAAGACCGGAAAGGAGTGTGAAACGGAAAAGAACGGAAAAGAGTGTGAAACGGAAAAGACCGGAAAGGAGTATGAAACGGAAAAGACCGGAAAGGAGTGTGAAACGAACTGTAGGTGAACCTCTCTACTCCAATTGAGGAGAGAGAACAAAAAAAAATAAATAAAGAAGAAAATATTAGTATATAAAATTTCAAATTTCAGACGGAGTCGTTATAAGTACAGACTTGAAGGAGTTTTTAGAAGGACGCTGAAACTCGATCTAAAACAGGGAACCACGGATGAATCCTTTCTCTCGTTCAAAAGAAGTGTTGGGAAGAATATAAACCGGGTGATAGGCGAACTTATATACTCCTATTAATATATACAAATAAGACTTGAAAATCACTTTACTTCGAACATATAAACAAAAAGGGGACTACAGGAAGAGCAAAATTAATGCTTCCCTTATATAGTAAATAAAATATTATACATAGTATAATTATATTATAAAATATTATACATAGTAAATGAAACAGTTTTATTTATATATAACAATTTTACACTTCTGCAGGTTATCAGCGTGAAAAATGGAATTGGTGGACGGAGTTCAAATTTCAGCCAAGTCCACTGTGTTCACCTTTGCACAAATATCTTTAGGAAAGGCATGAATCCATCTCTTTTCACCTAGCTATGGGTTTTATTAGAAGCAATGATACTATTAGCCGCTTTCTTATAAGGAAATATTCGGCATTCTTTGGTCGAGAAGTCAGTACTACTGTCGGTTAAAATTTATAAAATCTTTCTCTTTCAAAAAACAAAACTGTTTCATTTACTATGTCCCATAATACGGGAAGCATTAATTTTGCTCTTCCACAGGAAAAGAAATATATTTACAGTAATATAGAAAAAAAGCCTGAATTGATTGAAAGTAGTTTTTTTTATTATTTTTACGTGTAGGCAAACTTATCGGTCATCTATTAACAATTGCTGATATCTGCTGCAACGAGAGAGACCAACAAATCATCAGTCTCTCAACAGTAATGTAATATGTGTACGTAATAAAGTATATTTTTACGTGTAATACGTAATATGTAATACGTGTTCGTAATAAGGTATATTTTTACGTGTAATACGTAATATGTAATACGTGAACGTAATAAAGTATATTTTTACGTTTAATACGTAATATGTAATACGTGTACGTAATAAAGTATATTTTTACGTGTAATACATAATATGTAATATGTGTACGTAATAAAGCATATTTTTACGTGTAATACGTAATATGTGTACGTAATAAAGTATATTTTTACGTGTAATACGTAATATGTAATGCGTGTACATAATAAGGTATATTTTTACGTGTAATACGTAATATGTAATATGTGTACGTAATAAAGTATATTTTTACGTGTAATGCATAATATGTAATACGTGTACGTAATAAGGTACATTTATACGTTAGACAAACTTATCTGTCATCTATTCACAATTGCTGAGATCTGTTGCAACAAGAGAGACCAAGAAACAAATAACCACATCACTTGAGGACTTTCGACAGCAGTAACAACTAAAAAGGATGACATGTAACTCGAAGGAAAAATAATAACATAATCAAGAGTTTGGCACTACTCCAAATAAAAGATTATTTATTGATTCGTTTTCGAGAGATTATCAATCTTTTGCAGGTTAATTAAAGCCAAAACATTTTTAGATTGTAAGAATTGTTTTGGAAGATAATAATGATTTTAGTGATACAAATCTTACTAATTAACCCATAGCTGGAGGAGAAGAGGTGGATTCATACCTTTCCCAAAGGGTATTTACACGTGATTGAATATAACGAAACCAACAGGAATTGATCTCTTCGATTAACAAATCCGAATCATCATCCATTACAGCACCTGCATATCCAAGCTTACAGTGCCTGGCGATCACCCATCTAGGTACTGACCAGGATCGACGTTGCTTAACTTCGGTGTTCGTACGGGAACCGGTGTTTAAACGTGATGTGGCCGCCGTAAGCAAATAAAAGGTTAGGAAGGAAACTCCTATCAATATTGGAAGGAGCGATAACAGCTACTGGACTTGGGAAATCTTTCTTCCTGTAAAATTGTTTTGAGAGAAAGATTTTATAAATTTCAAATAAAAAGTTAAAGATAAAGAAAAAAAATGTCAGAATAGAAAAAAGTCATGCAGACACAAAGACAGAAAGACAAGTGTGAGGGAAAGAGAGCGAGACGAGGGAGACAGAAAAAGAGAGAGAGAGAGAGAGAGAGAGAGAGAGAGAGAGAAATAAAGAAAAAAGGCATAGATACAAAGACAGAAAGACAAGTGTGAGGGAAAGAGAGCGAGAAGAGGGAGACAGAAAAAGACAGAGAGAGAGAGAGAGAGAGAGAGAGAAAATAAAGAAAAAAGGCATATATACAAAAACAGAAAGACAAGTGTGAGGGAAAGAGAGCGAGAAGAGGGAGACAGAAAAAGACAGAGAGAGAGAGAGAGAGAGAGAGAATAAAGAAAAAAGGCATAGATACAAAGACAGAAAGACAAGTGTGAGGGAAAGAGAGCGAGTCGAGGGAGACAGAAAAAGACAGAGAGAGAGAGAGAGAGAGAGAGAGAGAGAAAATAAAGAAAAAAGGCATAGATACAAAAACAGAAAGACAAGTGTGAGGGAAAGAGAGCGAGAAGAGGAAGACAGAAAGAGAGAGAGATAGAGAGAGAGAGAGAGAGAGAGAGAGAGAGAGAGAGAATAAAGAAAAAAAAGACATAGACACAAAGATAGAAAGTTAGAAAGAAAAAGAAGGTGGGAGGAAGAAAAAAAGAAAGAAAAGAGAGAAGAAGAAAAAAGAAAGACGACCGGACGCAAATATAGAAATGCAGACAAACAAGGAGTTAGAGAAATAAAGAGAAAAGCATACAGTAAGACAATAAGGGAGTCAGACAAAGAAAGTAAAGGAAAGTAAAGTAAAAGTAAAGAAAGAAAGAAAGAAAGAAAGAAAGAAAGAAAGAAAGAAAGAAAGAAAAAGAAATACCGACAAAGAATACGAAAGAAAGAGTGGCGGAAGAAAAAGAGAAAATGAAAGACAGTTGACTGGGGAAGATAAATCCGTGACAGGAAATGGAGAGAGTTATGAATAAGCCAGAATGGAAGAGAAACAAGCGACAAAATGATATTAAAAAAAAAAGAAATCAAAAGAAGGCGAATAAAAAAAACAGAAAATGGAGAAGAAATTAAGTAAAAGAAACAAAGGAAAAAGAAACGGAAACGTAAAGACAAAATGGATTAATACAAATGAAAAAAAAAATAACTGAAAAAAAAAATCCCCAACGGACACAATTTGAAGCCAAAGAAATATAAAAAAAAAAATCTCGAAGTGCACTCACGAAAAGTCCTCTTCGAAATAAACGACAAAATCACGCAAAAAATATTAAATAGATGGATGCTGCCTGTCACTTTCTTGACAGCCCAATTACTGTTTCAAATTTCTCCTGCATATTCGTACTTGCAGTAGTAATAACAACTGAATCTGCATTTCCATTGTTGTTGTTGCTATTCTCTCGTTAGTCATCATCAGTTACTATATTATTAATATAATTCTGTTGCACTTATAATACAGCTTGGCTTTTCCATCTTTTTTCATTATCATCATCATTAACGTTTGTGTTTTATCCAGATTATCATTTTATCACTCGTCTTATTAGTAATATTATTTGCTTTTATTATAACCAATAAGTAGATTTATCCTTTTATTAATGTCATTAGTTATTTCTTCTTCTTCTTCTTCTTCTTCTTCTTCTTCTTCTTCTTCTTCTTCTTCTTCTAATAATAATAATAATAATAATAATAATAATAATAATAATAATGTTAGTATGCTAATAATAGATCATAACTAATTCCAGTTGTATTTAAAGTCCTCGGATTGATTGTAAGAGGTTCCGATGTACTCATTGAAGGGATTCCTGGTAGCCCATGCCTTACAGAAATACAAAAAATTGTTCTCACGAGTAAAGCCCACACTTTACGAATGGCTTTACCTATGTAAAATATGCGTTTTTAGTTTATTTAGAAAAAAAAACCCTTAAGATCACACATATTTTACATAGATAAATCTCTTCGTAATGTGAGCTGTATACAAAAAAAAAAAAAAAAAGAAAAAGAAATGTACTCACAAATATAGCTCACACATTACGAAGAGTTTTATCTATGTAATAGATGTGTGATCTTAGATTTTTTTTAATTTTTAAAAATTCTTTTAATTACAGAAATGCTCAGTGGAAAATATCATTTCAACTCTCCGTTTATTCTCTGTCTTCGGACAGAGCGCAACTTAGTTGTTTCCTTGTGTCACATTCTATTGCTTCTCGGCCGTTTGGCTAAGATCAAAATGTAGTATCTGTTCTCATTAGCTTTATATTATTCTTTCTCTCCACTTCGATCTTTCTTTCTTTCCTTCTCTCATTCATTTTCTCATTGTAACCAAGTAGTGTCTTTTGCTCTCTTTTCACGCGATCAAAACTGAATAGTTCATTATTCATTCGTTATTGGCAGGGCGTAACGATCGTGCGAACTAACGATGGGTGGGACAAGCATAATAGGATTATTATTATTATTATTCCTGCTTCAGTTGATGTTTCTAATTTATTAGAATGTTTATTTAATTCATTATTGTTGTTCTATCTTGCTGATGTAATTAGCTTTTAAGTAATTGCTTTACCGATCGTTATTAAGTCATCCATCGCAAGTTGGCGCATTCAGCCAGATACGATTCAACCATTTCACCATAACAAGTACGCCTACGAACATCAGCTTTACTCGTGCTATTGTTACCTAACCTCTCTTTTTCCCACCAACATCACCGCCATTATCACGTCACCACCTATTTATGCATTTATTTTCTCATTTATTTGAAAATGTCGACTCTTCCGCCTTGCTTTGCGCCATCACTGAAGGCGCAGCCAGACATTACCATTGTCATTTTTCCATAAAAACCTCCTTTTTTTTTCTTTTTTTTTTTTTTTTGTACTAAGGACAACGGTGCGGTCCGGTAGAGACATGATTATCATCATCAACCCAGATATGGCAGGGTAACACACAAACTGTCACATAGATTTGGATCAAACAGAGAGGATTGGTTCTGAGATCACACGTCGCTAACATTTCAAAAAGTTTTTGAAATTTAAAGCCTTTTACTTTAAGTTTTATTATCTTAAACACCTGAAAGAGATCTGTGGTTAGCGTGTTTATGGAGTAAGTCATTAATTTTGTGTTCAATCCTCAAAGCGTGCTCCATGAATCTCGCTTTAATTTCGTTAGAAACAAAGAAAAGAATGCTTGATTTATATTTGATATCCACCCGCTTATATGACAGTGAATGTTGCACGGAAGAGGGGAAAACTAGAGGCAGTAGAAATGGGATTCTACAGGAGGATACTGAAAATTCCATGGACCGAGGGAGTAAACAACAAGGAAGTCTTGAAGAATATGAAACACGGAATAGAAAGAACCAATACACATCAAATCAGAAAAAGACTTTCCTTGGACACACAATGAGGAAGGTGGGCTTGGAAAACTGAACCTTCAAGGGGAATACTGAGGATAAGAAAGATAGGGGAAACGCCTGGTATTCCCAAGCTGTCACCCATCTAAATACTGACCAGGCCCGACGTTGCCTGACTTCGGTGATCGTACGAGAATGTTTCAACGTGATAAGGTTGTAAGGGGTAAGATTTCTAGAGGCGACTAACATTTAAACTGGGAGTGTGTAGAAATATTTTCTCCTGAATTATAGATTATCGAAAAGCTCTGGAGATCTTAATGAGTTTCAAAACTATATTCATTATTCAAGTTGGCTAAAAAGAAAAAAAAACCTCTTTAAATAAAGAACAAAAGGTACATTCAATATCTCATGACCACAAAATTGACTTAGAAAATTGATGCTTATGACGAAGTTCGAAAAGGCCAGTGTCGTTGTTGCTGCGTTTTTCACATCTTTCCAGATTTTTCGTTCTTCCTCCGTCATTTCTTATCCAGGAATACAATATAAGATTGAAGTTATCTTTTGATTGTCTGGAAACCAAGAAAAAATACTGTTTCCCCATTCAAACATGGCGGACAAAAGATCATATATTGGTTTTCAAAAATGGAGATAATCCTGTGCACTTAGGCAAGAATAATGATTTTCAAATATTTCAATCCTACAAAAGACCTAATGAATCAAAATAAAAAAATCTATTTCTTTTTTTTTATATCGTTTTTTTTTTTTTATAATTTTATTTTAATTAAATAGATATTTTCTTTCTGTTCGGAGATTCTCGAACACAAAAGATTAAAATAAAAATCACTACTTATATACACTTTAAATATTTAATTTTTGAAAATATCACCATCTTTCTTTCTTTCTCTTATTCATTTTCTCCCAAGTAGTGTCTTTTGCTCTCTTCCCACACGATCAAAACTGAATAGTCCATTATTCATTCGTTATTGGCAGGGCGTAACGATCGTGCGAACTAACGAAGGGTGGGACAAGCATAATAGGATTATTATTATTATTATTCCTGCTTCAGTTGATGTTTCTAATTTATTAGAATGTTTATTTAATTCATTAGTGTTGTTCTATCTTGCTGATGTAATTAATGATAAACCTTTAGAAATAATTTCCAAATAAGTCTTAACTGAAAGAAATTCAACCGAGCTAGTAAATTTTAATTTGTCCTCAACATTAAGAAGTTTCGGGAGTAACAAGAGTAACCGAAATATTTGTATTACTGAGAGTTCTTGGTAAATATACTGATACTCTTTCAGGAGACAATCTTCAGCATGACATCCGTCTCTTCAGACCCCTTTATTTTTCATCAATCCCCACAAAGTCAACCTGCCGTCCTGGGTATGACAATAAACTTCATCCGCGTCCTGGGTGAAACGATAAACTACGTCCAAGGCCTCTGATCAGAAGGCTTTGAAGAGCGTGGAACCACCTCTTAATTGCTGGTGTTCCCAGGTCCACGCTGACCCGAGGTGCTAGGACCTGTTAGGGTCCCAGCTATGGGCAAATAGTTAACTCCCAAACTGGGGTCAAAACACCATGAAAGTGTAAAAAAATAGGTTTTAATACCAGAAATACCTTGTAAAAATTATTACCAGCAATAAATTTTTTGAAGAAAAAATATTACCAGCAATATATTATTACAAGCAATACTTAAAAAAAAAAAAAAATTACCAGCAATACATTTAAAAAAAAAAAAAAATCTAAATATACATTTTTTGACAACAATATTACCAGAAATAGATTTTTGAAGAAAAAAATATTACCAACAATACATTTTTGAAAAACATTACCTGCGATAAAAATTTTGACGGCATTAAGGTTGACATGTCGAAATAGAAAATAAACGAAGCCAAACTTTATTTTATACTGCAACTATGCTGAACGGATCTAAGTTCAGACAGGGTTGCAAATTATTTGGAATTCAAACTTGTCCTTCTCCTAGACTGGTTGCCAACCACGGCTACAAAATCCTTCTATTAAATCAGTAGCGGCGGGGGATTCATAATTATACAAAGCGTGTTCTCTACCTGAATTCGAAGAGATGATTTTATATCCCGAGCCTCATACTGTTTCACCACCTTCGCATCTGGCACCTAATTGCGAAAACTTCACGCAGTCACGCAAAATACCTGGTAGGTGAGCGAGGCTTGTGTCATTCCCCCCCCCGCTCTGCCAAATTGTGTAATCTCATAACATAGAAAATTCTCGCTAAAATGATTTCAGATTTTAACAAACTAAGTAAGTTAACTGTGTGGATTTATCTCAATGATAATTTACCAGGAAAACAAGTCGAGACTGGAGTGATAATGACAATGTACCGTTGAAATGAGCACCGCGTTTCACCTCATTTGACGTCTTGTGATTTTTTTCTATGAGGCTATATGAAAGGACAGGTCAATACCCACCTCTTCCTACAAGAACTTAAGCAACGAAACACTGAGGCGCCGGAGAATGTTACGCAAGACATGCTACAGCGTGTTTGTCAGTAGCTGGACTACCGACTTGACGTGTAGTCGGGTCACAGATTGTGCGCATATTGAAAATTTGTGAAGCTTTGTGAAATCGGTTATAAAATCTACATCGCTTGTTCGATAAACTGATGAGCTGAGTTCGAATTCTGTTCGAGTTTGTTACGTTCACACACGCGCAAAGATCCTTGTTATGGGTTAAAGAACAGGGGAAACTGGGTTATCTAGACAGGATTGCCGTTATTGTAGGAGTAGGAAAACTCTGGATTCAAAAACGTATATAACCCTGTCATAGTCATGGAAAAGATTATGGAGCTAACAATTAACTGCGGTGTGGGTTTGTGAATTCTATGATCACGGCTACTCTATAAGAAGGAGGATACAGAGGTTAATTTGAAAATTTGTTTTATATTATACTTAAGTCTACTGGTTAATACTGCTCGAATTTATACCTGATTCAAAAGAAAAATATTGCTCAGTTTTATACTTGAGTCAATAGATAAACACTAGTCAGTTTCATACTAGAGGCAGTAGATAAATATTGGTCCGTTTCATACTTCCGTTGATAGATACATTTTGATCAGTTTCATACTTTAGTCAATACATTTTGGTCGATTTCATACTTGAGTCAATAAATAAACATTGATTACATACATTAATTAATAAATAAGTATTGATCGATTTCATATTTGACTCAATAGATAAATATTGATCGGTTATATACTTGAAGCAATATATATATATATATATATATATATATATATATATATATATATATATATATAAAAAGAAAAACAGACCACTTTAAGGTACCATTATAAAGTGGTCTGTTTTTCTTTAAATATTAGCTCTGGATTTACATTGAGCTCTCAGGATTTCATCCTCCTTGGAATTACCCATACGGATTACCAAGTTCTTCATAACTTAACTATATATATATATATATGTATATATATATATATATATATATATATATATTGGTTTCATACTTGCGTCAATAAATAAATACTGATCGGTTTCATACTTGAGTCAATAGATAGATATTGATCGGTTTTATACTTGAGTCAATTGATAAATAGTGCTTAGTTTCATATTTGTGTCCATATATAAAAATTTGCTGGATTTATAGTTGAGTCTGTATACATCCAGAAGGTGACCCTCTACAGGGGATGCAGTCGGCGTATTCTAGGCCACACCGACCGGACAAACATCAGTTTTTTTTCTCTAACACGAGAAATCGGCATGTAAAACCAGGTGAAAAGTAGTTTCTGAATGCCAGTCTAGCAAACATTTGCTAGTACTGCGAGTTCTGTCTTCACTGGGCGACCCATTATAGTAGCCATGTGCTAGAGAAACATAAATTGTGTAAATCCTTTGGGAACCTGCTGTCGATCAATAATGAACAAGTGAATCTAGTATACGGTTACTAGTGTAGTATATTCGATCTTCATTGGCATCGAAAGCGAAAACCAAGTCTTACCGCGAAAAAAGAATTCGAGACATGTGGGTTATCTGTCGAAGAATATCAGAACTAAGATCAGGGTGATTTTAGTAGGCCTCGAAATATGGTAATTCTTTGTACCTCCCTGCCAGTCTCGATCAATCACAACCTTTCTTGCGCTAAAAGAACGGCTACTTTTTGGACGATGGAAGAATTTGGTGGTTCTTTGTGGGTGAAAACGTAGCTGTGCGTTGTGAGTTTTGGATACAGATTCTTTTTTTTTTTTACCCCCTTTTGATTTACACCCCTGCTGGCATTTATTTTACTCTAGACCGCACCCTTTAGAATTGCAAACCCCGGATTTATTATTTTTTAATCTAAACGTCTCATTGCTATTTTCTCACAGTAATCCACTATTGTCTCCCTGTGCTAAGGTAAACAAGAGTTAAGATCTATTGAAAAATACCGGTAATATCCACGTCAAATCAGCGATACCCATGTGGTATGAAGAAAAGAGATACGGCACCCATTATTAGCATTATTATCTTGTTTCCCTAATGCGTTCTGTTTGCGCCTTAATCACTATTCGTAACGTGACAACGATTTTAATCGTAATAACCGTTATCACTTGTCTAGAATGGGTTACACGTTAACGTCAATTTCATAACCTGTCCATTAAGCGACACTTCGGCACCAGGGTCGCAATAACCAGATCATTCATAACGTTTCGCGTTGGATCAATGGTTAGCAAGCTCCTTTCGCGGCTTATGGCTTTAGCACGTTGAAATACCGGTTTTCGGTTCCGAAATTAAGCAACGTGGAACCTGATCAGTACCTAGATAAGTAACTGTTTGGGAATAAACTTGGATGTGCGAGTGGTGTAATGGATAACGACTTGTAATTGGAAATTGGAAAGCCGAGTTCCAATTACAGTCGGATTCATATTATTCGCTTACTTATATCTTGGGAATGTATCTGTCTATATTTCTGAGATGAGGTATTAGGTACACTATTTACATTATTCGGACTTTTGTCCTCATCTTTGTTGCCATATTTATTACAACATTTCGGCCCCTTCAGTATCTGTCTATATTTCTGAGATGAGGTATGATGTACACTATTTACATTATTCGGACTATTGTCCTCATCTTTGTTGCCATATTTATTACAACATTTCGGCCCCTTCTGTATCTGTCTATATTTCTGAGATGAGGTATTATGTACACTATTTACATTATTCGGACTTTTGTCCTCATCTTTGTTGCCATATTTATTACAACATTTCGGCCTCTTCAGTATCTGTCTATATTTCTGAGATGAGGTATTATGTACACTATTTACATTATTCGGACTTTTGTCCTCATCTTTGTTGCCATATTTATTACAACGTTTCGGCCGTTCTACGCTCCGGCCTTCTTCAGGTGTAAATAGTGTACCTTGGGAAAGGTATGAATCTACCTCTTCTTCCCCAAGCTATGGGTTAATTAGTAGGACAGTAGATCATTATTATTTTAAAAATATTCTTACAATCTAAAAATATTTCTGGCTATAAATATCCTCCAAAAGTTTGGTAAGCCTTAAAAAAATAAGTCTATCAATCAAAAAGCATCTTTCGTAGACTAATTCGATAGAGTAACAACATCGATAGATATTTTGTCCTCCACACTTGTTGCTTTGAGCGAGTCTATGGTGAGTCTGTAGTAAATATATACTGAACTTGTATCTTTTATGGGATATTCAACCGTAGAGCAACTGATAGCAAACTAATATCGTATTAATGCAATGAGTCTCACTGAGTGCCCCAGTCATATAATATTGCGACAGGTTAAGATCAACTTAGAAAATGCCTATAATTTCACTGGTGTTAGTGGTTTGTGTTGGAGCCTAGAAAAAAAAAAACACTATTTCGAATGCTGATTTTCAAGGCATACCATTCCTATTTAGAAAATTTTCCTAACCTCATGTGGTTCTATGTGGTCAGACAATTCTATGATCTGTTTGGACACCCTGCTAGAGAAGATTACAATCGGAAAATGATTATCATTGAATTCACTCCCTAGCAGTGTTAATTTTTACATATTATAAGCAAAAGGGGTGGGGAGCTATTGTCTTTTGCACCCAATTTAAAAAAAAAATTATTTAATAAATAAATGAATAAACATAATTAGCATTTAATAGTTATTTCCATTGAAAAAGCCTCTTTTTTCAGTTGAAATGGAATGTAGACGATAAAATATTATATTTAGTTGTGAATCACTTGAAATTTTACATTTGTTAAGTTTGCGCATTTTAGTGACACAATGATTTTGTATCTATGTCTAAAATGTACCTGTAGTGAATTTAGGCTACGATAAAAATGATTGGCTGTAGAGGAGATACGCAGTAGCAGCAGCAGTAGCTGAATTTTAAAACCCATGCTTCTAAAAAGAAACTAGCTCTTCTTTTTTCGCCTAATGCGGTAGAGTTGACTAGCTGGGATCTGTTCCAGCTAGACAGTCAAGAGGAACCCGGACAAGGCTCCGCCGAAGGGCAGAGTCTCGTTCAGGGAGGTAGACTAACCCGGAACTCGTTTATACGGATTCAAAAGGGAATATTTTTGGCCGAGCCTAGGGACTCGGAGAACCCACGTTAAACCGGCCTTGTGTCACATTCAACCCACGTGGGAGGGTAGCTAAATATACTAATACGGTAGCGTTATAGCTGATAAAGAGAACCGCTCCTCTCCAGTCGCTCAGTAAGTAATACTTCCAAAACGCTCACCTTGAGATTAACGAAAAGTTGGCTTTATTTTTGTGTCCGCAAGCATATAGTGACAGGACCCAAAGAATTGTGAGTTCAATACCTGGTTAAGGCAGTTGAGGACTTGGAGAGAGGTACTAACAGAAGATAATTGATAACTGATATCCATTAGACATGGCACGTGGAACTAGAACAGTCTACCCCAGCGAGCGAAATAAAAGGTTGACATTCCAACCATCTGAAGAAGGTCGGAGCGTACATCGGCCGAAACGTTGTGATAAATATAGCGACAAAGATGAGGAGAATATTCCGAATAATGTTAATATTATATTATATCGATCAATAAATTTTGTGTGAATTTCCGGGATGAGGAGTTATCACTATATACATTTTTTACATTCGGACAACTATACTCATCTTTTTGTGAGTGCAGACTTAGACTCAGTGGAAACAAAGCGTTCAATAACTGAACAGTCAGTCAGTTATGTGCCATGTGTGACACACGCTTAGGCGATCATGTATCTTTCGATACATGGCTGACGAGGCAGATTTTTCCCGCTGTAAGTTGTCACTTCTTTCTGCGGTAGACCACTTGCCATCCAAGGCTACAGAACATAGTCTTTCTTGCTATATACCCATGCAGGGGGAGAAGAAAAGGATTCATACCTTTCCCAAGGGTATTAGCACGTAAGTGAGTATAATGGATTCGACTGGAAATCGAACTCGGCTCTCCGATACTAAATGAAAATAAGAACTAGACGAGATATACCTAGACATGGGCAGTGGAACGAGAACAGTCTATTCCCGTAGATTAAATAAAGGGTTCAGTTCAGAATAACCTGTAGGTTACCCAGATCGATACACACCTGGGGAAGTCCAAAGAAAACAACAGCCGAAACGTTGTGATTACAAAAACAAAGATGAGGACAATAGTCCGAATATGAATAGTGTAAATAATGATAACTCCTCATTCCAGAGATACAGACAGAATTTTTTATTATTATTCAAGGTTAAGCCAGTTTTTACTAGGGAGTAGTTTGCTAGTAATATATATTTCATTCTTTAAACTTCTCATTCCATTCACTTATAGATTAGCTTGAGAAATGGCGCTAGAAAGAAAAATTAAAAAACAAAACACTCATATTTTTTTTAGTTAATTTTATTGAAAAAAATCACTAAAATTTGGAAAGGTTTCTTATCGGAGTTGGTTGTTTTTGTTTAGCAGCATATCAACACCTCTATGCGTCATTTAATGCCGAAATTATGTATGCTTATAATGGTTTTAATAATAGAAGTCTTACTAATAACACATAGCTGGGGGAAGAACAGATGGATTCATACCGTTCCTAGTGGTATTTGAACGTAAGTGAATATAATGAACCCAACTGGATTTCGAACTCATCTCTCCGATTAACAATTCTGAGCCACTATCCATTACACCATCCACACATCCAGTCTAACAGGACCTGGTGTTCCCAAACCGTCACACATATAGGTACCGACTAGGCCCGATGTTGCTCAACTTCGGTGATCGTACGAGAATCGGTATTTCAACGTGATATGGCCGTAAGCAGTTTAAAGTAGTGATTATTACTAAAAAAAACAACAACCAAAAAAAAAAAAAACAAAACAAAGCAAAAAGAAAAAAATCCAAACAAACCAGGTTGAAGCGATTTAAAATTCAAGTTTTGAGCTGTTGCCCCTTTTTCTTTTTATGCATTAATGTATTTGGTAAACACAATTTCTAACTGTATTCTGCCTATTTGTATAGGCAGGCGGAGCAAAAAGCTGTTACCTGTATAGTGAACCTTGCCAGGATTTAGCCACACTTAATTTACAATTTCCTTCGCTCACGATAAAAAAAAATTAATTCTTCTTTGCGTTCCTGCCAAAATCGAGAACTTTATTTTTAAATAACCTGAAAGACCACTTCGAAGAACACAGCCACGTTTAAAATGTGACAAATGTCATTGTTTTTTTTTCTCTCTTTCCATTTAGTCAGACTAAAAATGATTTTAGAAAAATGCACCCGGGAGTGTTTTTCTCGACTTTTATATTTGAGCTCTGAAAATTAATAGCTCACTGTTTTCGTTTCGTTTTTTTTTTTTTTTTTTAATCTTTACGTTTTTTTTTAAATCTTTACGTTTTTTTAATCTTTACGTTTTTTTAATCTTTACGATTTTTAATAGTTTTTCTTGTCTATCTTTTTCCTGGAATTTTTCGTCGTCAAATTAAACTGCCTCTGCTGCTCTTTTTCTTACTCTTTGGCCACTTTGCACCGTTATTGGTCATCACGGAAGCCGATGCTCAATGGCCTGCAACTGACCACTTGGTCATATGGACGGCAACAATAAAAAGTGATGCTAATTGCCGGTGAGTGTCTCCTCAAGTCACTTCATTGAAGACTTGAAAAGCCCTGTGACCATCAATCGACCACTACCAGCGCCAGCCCTTCTAGACATAAAGACGCTTTCCCCCGTCTCTCTCTCTCTCTCTCGCACTCGTGCACACACACACACACACACACACACACACACACACACACACACACACACACACACACAGACGTTTGTCATTGCAATGGACTTTTCAATTGCTTTTCCTATTCTCTTGGAAATCAAAGCCAGTCTGTCAAAAACTGTGGCTTCTCAAGCGATGAAAATCAATTACCGACTCTCTTAAAGAAGGCACGTATACCGCTTACTCATATATACATATCACTTCTGTATGTGTATCTGTCTGTCTGTCTGCCTGCCTGTGTGCCTTTTACGCTAAAAGTGCAGAAAATATGAAATGCATTCTTTTTCTTTGATAGACATAGTAACAAGGCATTTTTCATCTAAATAATAAAAGATTATCGAAAATGAATTTGAAAAGACATCCACCAGATAGGAAGCAGAGGCATCGGATGTGACGCGCATGCGTGGTGAGTAGTGGAGGTTATATTATGACAATGTCCGTTCCCACCATGGATTATAGATTTGTGTAAAGAGTTAAAGGAAAACGCAGAGTGTTAATATATACAGAAGGATAGAGTGATAAGTTAGAGCTTGGAGAGTAAATGTAAATGTTCTGGTGCATAAGACAGAGAGAGAGAGAGAGAGAGAGAGAGAGTAAGAGAGAGTAAGAGAGAGATAGAGAAAGTAAGAGAGAGTAAGAGAGAGATAGAGAAAGAGAGAGGAGAAAGCGGGAGAAGAAATAGGGAGATGAAATGACAGCGTGAGAAAGAGAGGAGGAGAGAGGGAGAGAAAGAAGGGAGAGAGATAGGAGAGAGAGAGAGAGAGTAAAAGAGAGTAAGAGAGAGATAGAGAAAGTAAGAGAGAGTAAGAGAGAGATAGAGAAAGAGAGGGGAGAAAGCGGGAGAAGAAATAGGGAGATGAAATGACATAGAGTGAGAAAGAGAGGTGGAGAGAGAGAGAGAGAGAGAGAGAGAGAGAGAGAGAAAGTAGGAGTCCTGTAGAATGTATATATATATATATATATATATATATATATATATAGATATATATGTATTCAAATGTAGTAGCGGCCTGATTATAATATGTGGATAAAAAAAACGGATGTACGTTTTAGTGTTAACATAGAACTATGTGGATGTGTAAGGTCGCTGATGGGTTGCGTATTTGTCGTATTTCGGCTCTGGGTATGTAACGATGACCGCAACATCGGAGAATGGATGAAAACAATCGATTCTGATATTAGGTTGATTTTCTATCTCGATATATACATATCTAGAGATCTCTTTCGAAAATTCTGTTTCGCTTCTCATTATCTCACGATTAGTGAACTTACATCCTCATTGAGAGCAGCTCTTGTTACTACTAATTCACTCACTAGTGTGTTCGTATCCTGGTCGGGACGGTTTCTGATTAGTTGGTTAAAATATGACTTCATGGTCTAGCGATTCTGTATAAAAATTTTATTAAAATAGTTTTCTTTTATATAATTTTATTTATTGTGTTTTTACTTATAAGAAACCTCAGATAATTTGTTCAATAACAGCGTTTTTATCTACAATAGGGGATGATGCGAGTCAATATGGAAATACCGACAGAAATATTAAAACTTTATTTGTTCATTGAATATTGATTAGATGTTTATCGGAGTTACATTCATTTTTTTACCCCTACCGGTATTTTCCCCAACTTTGGTCTATAATGCTTATTTCAGCTGTCACTATTTTTCAAATTCGATGTTATATCATTTTATAAGGGTTTAGTTTATATATTCAATGGGTTTACAAGCATTTCACGTTGAAATACCGGTTCTCGCACGATTACCGAAATTAAGCAACGTCGAGCTGTACAAGTGGGCCAATAGATAACAGCTCGGAATTAGAAATCGGAGATACGAGTTCGAATTCCAGTCGGGTTCGTTAAATTCACTTACGCATAAATAACCTCCATCTATGTGTCATTAAGAATTGTATCCGTAAAATCATCATTATTATCTCCAAAAATATTCTTGCAAGCAAAAATATTTTCTGGTTTTAAATAAGCTGCAAAAGGTTGATAAGCCGTAAAAAACAAATCAATCAATCACTCAGTATACATGGTGTCCTCTCAAATCTGACATAATTTAAAATGGGAATATCTTAGTAATTACATGTCCCAGGCTAACGAAATTAAAAAGGCTTCATGTTGAAAAATAAAAGGTTTATTTATCAAAATTCGTACAAGATATTCAAAACGATTTAGATTTTATAACCGATTTCACAAAGCTTCCCAAATGTTCAATATTCGCACCACACGCGACACAACACACGTCAAGTCGGTAGTCCAGCTTTTGCCAAACACGTTGTAGCATGTCTTGCGTAACATTCTCCGGCGTCTCGGTGATTCTCTGCTTAAGTTCTTGTAGGAAGAGGATGATATACACGTATTCTTTCACATAATCCCTATAGAAAAAAAAATCACAAGATGTCAAGTTAAGTGAACGTGGTGGCTATTTCGACAACACGTTATCACTGGCATGCCCGATTCATTTTCCTGGTAGATTATCATTGAGATAAGTCCGCACAGTTAACTTAGTTTTTACACATTTTGTTAAAATCTGAGACCATTTGAGCAAGAATTGTCTAAGTTGTTAGACTACAAAATGATGTCAAATTTTTGGATACCCTGTTTATCTAATGAGATAAATGAAACTTCACCATATGTCTTGCTATATGCTGTTCAAGTGGTTTATATTAAACGAGATTTTTCTAACCAGTGTTGCGTTTCGTGTCATCTCTGACTTTATACTTTAGATCTCCAATGCTACATCATAGACTATATCAACGACGGATCATTTTCTGTTTTTTATCATTTATTTTATAAGGAACTCTAGTCGTAGCATCGTTTCTAGGAGGGATAAAGTGGTAGATGATCGAGAAAGAGACGTGTCAACCGGTTGGCCAAAATCCCATCGCTACGCGATGTTTTATCTTACTTAGGAATCAGTATGCGCTGAGGTATTTTGATCCAGCTGATTCTTGCAGCCGTTCCCGTGTGTTCGCATCTTTTTGATCTTATATTAAGACTTAAACAAATACAATCCATCACCGTCAGAATTCCACGCCCATGGTTTCTTCTGACCAGTGGTTTACTATTCTGGGACAGGCTACACATTCTGTAACACTAGAAATAATTTGTATTACAGCAGCAATTATTGAGATATCAAAAATATTTTGAAATTTCCTTTTTTGTCTAAAGTAGGTATTTACCCGTCTTTCCACGGCGACGCGCTTTAATACAAGGTCGGGTTTAATGTGGTCTACCCGAGCGCGTACCCCCATAAAGTAGAGAAAAAACCAGTAAAAGAAACCGATATCCGGTGTATAAAGCAAGGTTGGCTAATCAGAATAAATGTTGTCACTTTGACCAACGTGAGGTCAATCTCTAATCGTTGAAGAGGCGTAGCCTCGTGCTTCAGTTCGGTGTAAGATGTATAGTTATTAATTATAAGTGTTTCTCAAGATACCTCGGAGAATAGCAGTTAAATTTTTATAGTAATAAAGTGTCGCTGCCGACACTTGAGTTTGAACATAGATCGCCACTGAGCAAACACAGGCGATCCCATTATTGAATTAAATAGACCACGTGACGATAGAGGAAACGCATAAGTAGGAAGTCGCATGACGTCTAGATTGATCTTCATTTCTAGTCTATCCTCTCTTACTATCGGATCGTTATTTCTATTCTATCTTCTATTACTATACGGATTGCTATTCTTTACTCTTTTCACTATACTATTTCTATCTTCGGATCACTATACGGGTTAGTATTCGAGCGAGTATTATCGAACAGGTACTATTAGTGCGAGTGTTATTCAAAGGCGTCAGACACCAGCATTGTTCAACGGCATCACTATAGTTGTATCGGCGATTACAAAGTCTCTATACTACAACGAACATTTACGACAAGTGACAACAAGTATTCGTTGGCATTACAAAAGTAGCAACGAGTGTTCGTTGACATCACAAAACAGACATCAGCGGATTTCATTAGCCGCGGATTCTAATGCAAAGGTAGATCTCAAGTGACAAGAATTTCGAAGAATGTTGGTTCTCATACATGTCAGGTAGGCTTTTTCTTGTCTAACTGCGTTATTTCTTTTCATTTCACTGAGACGATAGAGTAACGGATGTTAACTTTCAGACGAAGAATCTTTGTCTATAGACGCGCTCATAAAACCTAAAAATGTTTGCCTATATACTTGTAGAGGATGGGTTTGATTGATTGATTGTTTAGCGGCATATCAACACCTCTGTGAGTTATTTAATGGTGATATGTAAATATTTTGTACGCAACTTTATGCCTTCCACTATAGATTTTTGTACATGATTTTATACTCCAGGGCAAACATATGTTTGTTAGATACATAGGTTGAAGATAAAATGTACTGTTGGTAGTTTTATTATAAAATGTACTTTTAATTTTTGCTTGGGTGTTTACTATTTGCCCAGAGCTGGGACCCTAACAGGTGCCAGCATCCCCGGTTAGGGTAAACCTGGGAAAAACAGCAGTTAAGAGGTGGTTCCACACTCCTCCAATTTCCCAATTAGAGGCCTTGTTGTACTGTGAGGAGTTATTACTTGTTACGAAGATGGAAGACATTCAAAGTAAACGAATTCAACAGGCTCAAAAGAAATGGATTTAAAACATGGAGGAAATTTACATATAAAGGGTGTTCCAATAACTTGGACCGATTTCAAATGTGAATTAATTTTAAGCGTCTAGTGATCTTTTTCTTTCAGATTTAACAACTTAAGTCTTTGGCAATTTGAGTAAAGTGTCCAGTATTCACTGCCATGCAGAAGAAAGGTTATTACATAAAATTTGGGAGACATTTTTTTGAGTTTCTAACGAGGATTTCCAGTTTTTTGCTAAGTTATTTAAACAATCAGTGAAAATTTGAGATTTTGATAACTCGGCTTTCGATTCAACGTCTGTCCGTAAACTCGTATATTTTGCTATTTGTTCGATTGAACTGTACCTGCTGGATTTTACAAGCGTTTGAATTTACTGCCAACTGCAATGTGTCAAACAGAGTGTAAAAGAGTTAATGTTGAAGAGAAAAAAAAAGACGAAGGTATTTCTAAGTTGAAACTTTAAAATTAGTATCATATTTTTGTTCCGTATGCTAGTTCAAGGATTTGCCATCTTTTATCAATATTCATATGAGAACAAGCATATCATTTACGTAAAACAAACAAATAAATCGTATTTATTGTCGATTTTCCGAATATTAGTTATTGATCTAAGCGTAATTATGCAATTAAAATAAGTTTTTAACGTTTCTCATACCAAATATTGTATATTGATCTTAATTTGCTGAAATTTCTACCTGCCAACCTGTCTATATACAGTCGTCTGTTGATTCAATCTATTCTCTAACTGATATTATCTATTTAATAATTTTAGTTCCATACACTCAGAAAGCCTGGGGCTGGCGGGTTGGCTGAGGTAGTTGCAACGTAGCCGGTTGAATGTTTAAGCTCAAATAAAAGCAGGGATTTTGTTCTATCGTCGAGGTAAATGATAGACAGAGAAGAATGAGGGCTTAATCTATTTATTCAGCACCAGTATCCGGTTCTAATGTATAAATACAAAAAACATAGAACAATAAGTTACAAAACAATTAACAAGACAACTTACAAGGAATAAATGAGGGTCAAATGCTGTACAGCCAAACGAAGTAAGATCAGTCTGAATATTAATCAGCTTAGTATCAACTTATTAATCATCTGTTGAAGTCTTTAATCGCAGACTATTTAAGGCTATGAGCCAAGCCATCTGGTAGAGTGCTGAAGGGGTACTAGCTACAGTTTTGAAAGTGATTGCCATAGTACAATCTTTTAAAACCCTAGTAGTCAGTATAGTTGGATAATATGTAATATTTACAAATCGCATTATCTATCTATCTATCTATCTATCTATCTATCTATCTATCTATCTATCTATCTATCTATGCCAAGCTGTTCATTATCTATCTATCTATCTATCTATCTATCTATCTATCTATCTATCTATCTATCTATCTATCTATGCCAAGCTGTTCATATCTATCTATCTATCTATCTATCTATCTATCTATCTATCTATCTATCTATCTATCTCAATGTTAGCTTATACCCATCTACTCATATCAGTATCTATCTATCTATCTATCTATCTATCTATCTATCTATCTATCTATCTATCTATCTATGCCAAGCTGTTCATATCTATCTATCTATCTATCTATCTATCTATCTATCTATCTATCTATCTATCTATTAAAATCTGCTCATATCTCTCTCTGGTAACCATATATAATA